AAATATCCATTGGTTTTCCCTATAAACCAGGAGTGAATTATGGCAACAAGGCAAGACACATGTAGGCAATTTCTCTGACTTCTCTCTGCATCACGCCTATCAAAGGACACACATGATGTTTGGCTGAACTGACGCACTGGAGTAGTTTGCGAGTTAGTGACGGTTCGACCGTCGATTCCGACGAGATATACCGTGTGCTATAGGGCAAGATGCAGCAGGGACGGTGACCTGCGCGTGAATTAGTTTATAGTGACGGTAGACTTGCGCAGAACCTACCGCACTCATTCTTTTCTACTCCCAACCTGGATCCGGTGTCAAGACAAAGTCAAGAAGGGTGCAAGCGGCTGGCACGGCCAGACCCGCAACTAGGCGTGCCACAACGCCCCTGGTCTATAACATACACTTGACCAACAACAACACTCCAACAGGGGTCAGAATGACGAGGATGATGACTGGACAGCTATGCCCATTACCTGTATACCCAGCGGGGGCGCAAGCGCATCTGCCGGCAGGGAATCAGGTGTCAGGGAGCTACCAGCGCATACCAGGCTGCGAGGGCCATGGGTTGCTGATACTGGCATAGCCCACGCTGTCAGACCTTTTGACCTTACGCGTTAGTAATGCTCTTAAGACGGCCGCTGCAAAGTTTCCAGCCACCTATACCTATTCAAATGAAAAAAAGTAGCCAGACGTCGATTAATTGCATGCACGTCTCCGCGCCCCCGTTCCCCCTCCCCTCTCTCTGTGACACGACTCTGCCCAGCTCTCACTGCCACTTAGTGCCTCCTACCGCCTATTCACACACCCCGCTTTCATGTAAAAACGGACCGTAATCGATTTATTTCATAGTTGACACTCTTAACTTTGTATTTCGTTCCACAATAAATGTACTGGCCCTACGAGAAATTATTGAAAACACGCGTATGCTCGTCAAATGGTCTTCTGGAATAGGTATTTACATAGTTTTTTGGATATGTCGACTTTATGCAACCTCGGTCGAAAAATCTCACTTTCCTTCAACACCCAGAATGCAAATTCACAAAAAGCTCGGTGAGGGATTTCCACGCTGAAGAAAACGGGATATTTGCTGCAAAGGACAACTGCTTTGCGCCGGTTTACCAATAGCGCGGACGCCACAGTTAAATGCGTTAACTGAAGTGCAGTTGTGCTTTGTGGTAGAGGAAACAAACTCGAGAAAACAGGGGCCAAAACAGGCCAGATATGAACTCAAACACTCCCCCCTTGACAACCCATCGTGGTACTGGGCATTTTCAAAATGATGTAATTTTCACAAGCAGAGAACACGTGTGATGACAACCAGCACTGTGGTTTGAGGAGAGCATTGAGTCAATTTATGTTTTAGATCATTTCTGTTGTATTGCGCATAGGCTGTGGACACTGCAAGCGTTATTTGTTTAACTCAACGCGCGAAATTGCAGCTTGCTGGGCCGAGGCGAGATCGGCCGTTCTGTTTGCGTTGGAAGATCAGGGCGGGCAGAAGGAAAGTTTCTTAATTCTCTTCCACACCGTAACTTCTAGAATAGCGGCAGAGGCGGCGAATGGAAGTTGCACGACGCCGGCACACAACGCGACCGCACCTCCAGCAATGAGGCAATAACTAAAAGCGCGACTACATTCATTAACAACAAAGGGATGATTAAAAACTCATTAGAATAAAATTTCAGTACATGACGCCTACGCAGGAGAGCTAAGAAAGTAAATACCAATGCCGACTTTGTGCAACATGAGATCGTACGTGCTAAACACAAATTAGTTTAATCTACAAGATGCGGTCGAAGCTCACGTTTTACCCTTTGATCAGAGGACTCTGAAGCTGTTGTTTGTTGATTTATAATATGTGACTTATCTCATGAAAGGCGTTACCATTCGCAAAAGATTGCTCATAACCTGCAAATCGATAAAAACGAATGGACCCTAGCTTTGAAATAACAATAAGCGACTTTAAAAGAGCTGACAGCATCAAGGAAATATTAAAATTGACATTTCACACTTTAGATATATCAATTTTTTAGAAAAGCGAAAGACTCGGGAAAAGTTAAGGAGGATTGCAAGTTTTAGAGCATGAAATCGCACAAATTTGCAAATTTACTTTTTAAAATAGATTAAACGTTTGGTTTTCTAAAATTAACCCGTATCCTTAAAAGGTAACGTAGCGCCCTTGTGAAACATCATTCAGTGGTTAGGTATTCAGTAATCGCAAAGGGCAGAATGTTTCGAAACGTTTAAACAAAGGATTACCAACTGACGCTATTACTGCGTCTTAGTGCATAAAGTTAGAAGGATTTGCAAATTTGACATTCTAAAATCGTTAAACCACGTGATTTTCTGAAAATAGCCTGGTTGCTTACACCTTGTTTTATCTGATTTAATTGAAAAAATCAATTTTCAAGTGAGGCACGTTCCTTTTGGTAAAACTCTCTAGTTTAGTCTACTTGCTTCTTACAGAAAAACATACACGGATGAACAAACGTAGCCTAGGAAAACTATTGACACTGGAATACAGGGTGACGTAGATTTCCGCTCAAATTTACAAACATCCTGACGGATAAAATTATCTATAAGCCTATTGTGCGTGCAAAAAAAGATCTTCTGGAATGGATTAGACGAATAGTTTAAAAATGCAGCATTTTAGTTGCCCACAATTGGTCAACTCAATTTCCGCCATCACTTTTCGTGAGCCAGGTCATATACTGTAGAAGCATTTACAGTTAGCGAAGTTTACTAGTCCGGTCCTATTGCTCGGTGGGGCATTCTTCCCTCATGGCAAGTGGCATTACAAAGAAAGTAACAGCTTTTTGCTATTTCGCCTGGAGATAGGAGTTAAAAAAGTTACCCGTAAATATATGAACTCGCATACCTACACGTATACTATCTCCTGAAGCACTTTTGTATTTAAGAATTTCGCCTTTTAGCAAAAACAGCTCACCCTTATGTACTACAATTCTAGAAATCCCAAGCGTTAACTATAGGGGATCTCTCATCTCTTTGATAGGAATATAATTATATTCAGTCTTTTACTGTGAATAATGGTTCCTTTTTTGCAAAAACCACAGATAAAACAAGTAGATGACCCAACAGTTCCAGTCGTGGTCAAGTTTCCGATACTTTGACAGCAAGGCTATTTCTGTCTTAATGACCTCAGGGATGTTCATTTTATGAGTATTTAACAGGTGTAAAACAGATTATTTAGCATTAAGAAGACGAAGGACTTGTTGTTTCTGACATTCAGACCTATTTATTTTGGCAGTATTAAAAATCGCACCTCGTCCGGAAAACTCGTTAGCAAACGCCACCGCAAAAACCTAGTTCCCCACGACAGTTAGCATAAAATGGAGGGAATTTGTCGTTCTGACGCACTGTGAAGTCTGGAGGCTGAATGTAAACATTATCTCCGCAACTTTACACATGGATGACTTTGTTAGAATAAGGTAAATATGCTCAGCCGGTTTAAATAACATGTGAATCTACTTCAAACAAGGGATATCTTAACTTCCCTTGTAGTTTGAGAGAACGTGCAGGAAAAAACTTGTGATTGCTTTAAAGGGTTACCCGAAAAGAATAAATCATTCACAATTACAGAATACTCACTCCGGTTGATTTGAGGTTGTACCGCTCACGACACAGGCAGTACCGGCAATTATTTCTCCGAGGCTAAACGAGTAGAGGAAGAAGAGAATCCATCCGTTTTTCTTTAAAGACGTCCTAATTTTCTCCACTTTTTCGTAAATCTCGTCGCTCATTCTGCAACCTGAAGACCAAATATACTTTTCACGTTTAAAACAATTTTACTGTGCCAAAAGCATCATACATATAATGGATAAAAACAGCTGGGGGCCACTTGCTCTTAGAATAACGCATTACAAATACATAACTCTGAAAATCAAATATGCTTCCGTCAAGACACAAAATTTGTCATATACCAAAAAAATTCATTTGAAAATCGGAAACTGCACAAGAGATTCTAACTTTTCAGAGAGCGATGACAACTCTAACGCTTGAATTCGTGTACTGACAGTCTGCGATCATATCGGCTGCAGGCGAGGTCAGTTGTGTGCGCGAAGCTAAAAGTTCCAAAAAGTACGTCACAAAAGTCCTATTTTACGCCAACGAAACTGGACAGACCAAGTAATGGGAGCCGGAGGAGCATTTTGAACGGCATATCTATATTTTAGAAAAGACACTGAGAGATAAACAAAATAATTATAGAACGTGACGAGCTTGTTGTAACCAAACCTATATCAGGGCAGTTTGGATATAAGAAGTAGAAGGACTTATTTCTGTTTTAGTCGCGAAAGTTGAATAGTAGTTTCGGGAATATTTTTAGTAATTGAGTTAGTGGTGTGGTATCCTTGTTTGTAGTGGAAGAAAGGGCAGTCCCAAGACGCCTATGAGGGCAAACGTGTCCATCTTCATCGTCTTGCAAGGCAATGATGGCTACTTCTGCCTTATAAGCTGTCATCAGCCAGCCGTACTCAACTCCAGGCTTTGATTCCTTGAAACTCGAACCCGAGATCTATGGTCATTGGGTGGGACACTGTGTCATTGAGTCACAGTTTTGGTAGGAATATTAAATATGGTAGTGAGGCGCTCACCGATTAGGTTTGGGGGACGTGGTCGTCCCGTTGTGTCTTAGAGATCAGTCTTGAGCCCTAGCGGACAGTCACATAGCGATTTGTAAGGGAGCAAAGTCAAATAGAAGAAAGATCGAAATGGTCGCTTCTGACTAATTATCTGTCATTAACCAGTCATTTCCGAAGCTCAGGATTGAGGGACACGAAATTTTTAACCTGGATTTTTCGGTTTACCAAAGAATCTGGGCTCGAAAGGCGGGCTCTGCAAAACCTGGGGTTTGGGTCAGGTCATCCTACTGTCCCTTTTCTTTATCGGTAATTCATTGTGTATATTTAATAACACCTGCGTGTGCCCCACAAAAGGGTGGAAACAAAGACGGTGGTTTGCGCGTGAATTCGTTTGTGATGATGGTGGACTTGCGACGCGCCTACCGCACTAACCCCGCCGCCGCCGCCTCCTCCTCCTCCTCCTCCTCCTGGGTCCGGTGCATGACAGCGCCCAGAAGACTGGAGCCGGGAGAGGACGCAGGTTGTTAATACGACGAAAAGCCGTGTCAGTGTGCACCATCGCACTCCCCGGTCCACAACGCACAGTGACCAGGGGTTTCTACACCAAGACAAGCGGGGGCGGCCAGGATCCCACTTGGCGCCCTGTGAGCCCGCACCTGGGCTCGTCACCACATCCTGAATATTGGCATTTGTCATGGGAGCGCATTTATTATAACGCCTGCCGGACCCCGATATAGCCCCCTAGTTGGTCTGGCGTACTTACTGCGTGGCCCATTTGAGGGGGAAATTTGCCTCTACCCTCCTTAAAGCATAATTACTGAAATCACTTTCCAAATTGTTCCGACTGCTGTAAGTATCTTGGACGAAAATATATATAACATCATAGCCAAACGCAAACGCTTTCTCATCCGGCTCTTGACGCGTTTCGATAGCCACAGAAAAATAGTATACTCTAAAGATCTGCCGAAGATATAGGATGCCCTCCAACTTAAATCACTTACTAATTCCCCAAAGACTTAGCTATTTCCAAAGAGACCATGATTCACCGCACCCAACTAACCATCTAGTGACATTCATTTCTGACTTGGACCTTATAAAATGTTAACAGTCTGGGCTCACAAGGAACGGTTTCGTAACCTCCTAAGTCTATCCACATACATATGTATTAATTGGAAGACAAGAATCCCAAGAAATGTAATTTGAAGATAGTAGGCTCTTTGGGAAAAAGACAAATTTATTAGTGGATTTTCGATGCTGGTTCCCCGTCTCGTCGTGATATTTGCGAAAATGTGTAAAAAGAGTCAGCATTTCAAACATGGTCAAGAAACAACACTTCGCAGTCATCTCTGCCAGCAAGTGTCCGCCGCATACGTTATTGTGTATTGATTGGTTCCAATCTCTTACACTTCTACATAAGGTTTGGCACATGGCACCTAGCTCAGTATGTCGATTAATGCAAGATTCATCCGAGCACACGGATTCAAGAAATTATCGGTAGTTTTTGGTAAGGCAGTTGCCGACGATGCGAGTCTCGTCCCTTATAAATTATGTCCAGTATCTACTACGTGCATGGCTACCTGAGATACGCGGTCGTACCTCTTAACAGCTACCTGATGTTCGTGGATGCGTGTGAAGACAGACTTTCAAGTTCAGCCAAAACATACGGAAGCTCATGCTTCACATGCGATCTTGTAGACGACTTCCTTCCTTTTCAGATAGTCAACCCTATACATAGGGCGTACCAGCTGACTGTATAATGTAGTTGCCGGTATGTACGCCACTTGCATCTGTTGTTTTTTCAGGTGTCTTTCAACGAGTTCAGACACATTTTTAATTTAGGGGAGGGTTGGCCAAGTATTTGCATTGGGCGCCTGCTTGAAACTAACTGGTTCCTTTTCTCTGGATTCTTGTTTTCTCATACATCGACATGCAAAATCTCTAAGGCAACCATCTCAGGAAAGTAATTCAAAAGGATAATTTAGTTCTATTTGGTAGTTTTCTTCGTCGGAACAGTGTGTTTTTGATCGTTAAAGAAAGCTGCTGAGAGTGTGTGATTATTTGCCTTGCTAAAAACACAAATAAAGGCCCAGACACGTGTGTTTCGCCGATCTTGTGCCGCTACCTGGCTCATCAGTGGGTCCCTTAGCTTTCTGCGTGTTTTTTCTGGTATATAAACTCTAGTTTCACCTTACCTTGTTTAATTTCCGAGGAAATTAATGTTCGAGCCTAGACTAGATCCTTCGGAACAGACCTTTCCCGAAAACACATGGAAAAGCTGGAAAATTCACTGATGAACCGAACGTCTCGCAGCTGCGTCTGGCAGCGGCACAAGATCGGCAAAACACGCTAGTGTGAACTTTTACCTGTGTTGTCACACGGTAAATAATTACACAATTTTGCACTTCTGGCTGCCTGTTGGCGGTTTGTGAATATTACACGGTTATTACGCAGTAGCTGATGGCTTTAAGCTCAAATGTTCATACCAAATTTCGAACCGTTCCTGAAAAGGTCTGTTCCGGAGGATTAACTCCAAGTTCGCGCATTAATATCTTGCCTTTCCCAAAGAACCTACTATCTTAAATATATATATATATATATATTGCAAAATTTTTGTCCGGCAAGTAGAGATGATTTTTATATGCAGACGTTTGGAAAAATAAATACAATAATGGAAGGCTGCAGGGTACGCTAACAATTGTTTTTCAGAAGGTCACGCAACTAGACATCCCACCTGCCAAGAGAATAAAGAGCGCTAAACCGCAGTTCACGTTGCTTGCACCGGTAACCACTGGTAATGACCTTAAGAACATAATTGTTGAAGCAGTGTCATGAACTCGAGGGAATTAGTCCACTGAATATCCACTTCCAGTGGCTTGCAAGACATCCGTGTTTCATCCTTAACATTCAGGTAATTTAAAGTGTCCGTTTTGTGAGTGGAAACAAAACAGCGATTTACACTACGAACCTTTTAACCATAAGACGATCGTTTAAGTAACCGTCCACGTAAGGCCAGAATTGGGGCTGAATTTCATTTGATGAGTAGGTAATACAAAGGTGTTTTGGCAAATTTCAAACAATTCACTTTGACCCAAATGTGTAAAACTAGGCGTCAAAACACATCTGAAGTACGTGAGCCTGGTAGTCATCTGGTGGATTCTAGGTGTATTACTTAGGAAATCCTGCTCGGGCAGTCAGTCTGCTGTATCAGATTTGATGGTACCAGACGTTGCAATAAGTTGGGCTTTTGGCTAGTTCCTGTGCTGTTAATATGGTATCACCTTACCCTTGAATTTTGAAGGTTGTTACATGCACGTAGTTACGCCTTCATAAACCCGACAGAACTGCCCAAATGTGTCAAATGATGACGTTAACGTCGAAGGAAGTATACAACTGAGATGCATCATCAGTGCTCAAGTACCGATTCCCCGGTGGTATTTCATGCCTAAATAAAGGAGCTGTAGGCTTTAACCAAAGCAGCACGCCCCAGCATATAATGAACCACCATTTATACTTGCTTATATAGGGCGTAAATATCCATTTTTTGGGCAAGCTGAGACCATTTAGATCGCTATAAAAATAAAGGATTCCGCCTTAAGATAAAGATTTTGGATGAGGAACTTCCGTTTTGTGTGAAAAAGATTTGGTTGCATTCAAATTCCGCCAGAAAGGTAACCAAGATCCCGGCAGGAACTTTCCGAGCATGGACCCACAAAATTATAAACTTTGGGTTTTCCGGCCATGAAATTCCCCAGCCCATGACACCTAATTGGTCTTCGGGTTAACTGCAAATAAGAGCCCACTTGCTATACAGAACTTTCAATCACTCCCCGTTCGAACCATCCCTCATAGCACCTTTTGAGGACCTGAGAATGCTGGACGAAAGCGACCGTAAGAAGCTCAAGAAAATTAAAAAAACTGTAAAAATCAACGGCTGGCTCATCTTCATTCTGTTCTCCGTGCAAACTGGTTTCATTGTTGGCGGTGTCGTCTCTCTCATCAGCGGTCTCAGTGCAATTCCCCGAGAGTGAGTTAGATTTTTTTATTGAAAAAAATCACTTCCTTGTCCAGACAGAGTAAGATTAAATCTAAGCTGCCAGAATGACAAGTAAAGTAGTTATGCTATTTCATGAAAAGTGTTTTCGGTTACAAAAGATCACTTAACTATGGTTCTGATATTAATTGTCTTTTCGCATATTGTCAAGATATTTCAGTCATTTTATGATGCCAGTTATCGAATGAGCTTCTTTTCGACCGCTCACATAAGCTATATTCTGCAAAATTAACTAATTAAGAAAACTGGAGTTTTTCATTTATTTTTGGTGACCTTATGAATTTAAATATATTTTATAGAAAAAATGCACGTACATATTCGCTCTTTACTCATTGGGTAATATTTCTTGTCTTTTCCGAACTGCATTACTATTAACGAGTATATTTGGGCTTTAAAAAGTTTTTTTTTAATTCCTGAAAATTTTTAACTCGACTTGCCATTACAATTGTATTAAAAGTTTAAGAATTACAAGCCGCATACTTTTCGCGCGGCGAAAATCATACATTTCTATATGTCATCATGAAGAGGAAATATAGTGCTCACACAATTTATAGTAGATACAAACTCTGTTGTCTGCTTCATATGAAGCATAACTAAATGTGCTGGCGGATGCCATACTGGTTAACATTTGCGGTCTTAAAAATCTTACAATTAGACTTTTTAAAAATCAAAAGATGTCCCTCCTTCAAATATAAAATTTAAAGAAGACGTAATTGTCCACCAAAGGAATAAAAGAAAGCATTTTTACGCATGTCACCTATATATAAGTTTAAATGTGCATCGAAAATCAATGAGAATATTCCATATTATTGAAGTAGTAGTTTTTTACATGAAGCTGTTCACGCAGGCGGTCAATAAAAAACTCATCCAAGAAACGATACCCTGACGTGACTGGCTTATCTTGGTATTATGCCGAACACTAATTGACGTCACGACTCTATTTAAGTAATCTTTTCGAGTCGAAAAGATTACTCGACTCCTAACCCAAGCCGCAAAAGTCTGGAAGTTGAAACCTCTTTTAAAGTCAAACACAGCCCTGCTGACAGGAGCGACGAACTGTCAGTAATCAAGAAATTTTCGGGACTGCCTACTGCTCGTACGGTACGCGTTTCATCTCCAAACTAGACTGAATAATGGCTGGGATGGACAAAAAAAAATCCCAGCGAACATACGGTGCGTGACCAATCTCATGAAATGTTGGCCAAAACTCTGGAATGCGTTTCCGATTAGGAAGAATAACTTAAATAGGGTTGCTATACTGATTATCATGCAGCATAACCCTATAACATTTCAGACTTGCCAGGATGTCGGCCTTTGAATGCATTCCTTCTTGACCTCCCGCAGAAACCACACTCGGCAAAAATGGCTACTTAATTTGCATGCATTGTTCCTATTGATTCTCGATAATGTTACGTATTCAAATATATTTTACAGAAAACATGCACAAAAATAAGTTTTATTTTGCTCATTTGGTAGGAAATCACATTGTCTTCATATTTTATGCCCGAAGAAAGTGTGTATTATGGTTTAAAAAAATTTCCCAATTCCCGAATAATTTTCAGCCTGATCTGCCATTACATCAGCGTTTAGCAATTTCAGTCTACAAGGTGCATGCTTTTCGCGTAAGGAAAAGCACATATTCCTCTATGCCTTTAAGGAGATGTCACATGGAGTTAATGAAATTTTGCAATGGATCCGGACTGTGTTGTATATTTCATGAGGAGCATTGGTAAACGGACATGTGCGGTCTTGCACGCTTGGACGTCGCACAGTCTTAAAAAACTCATAATTGGAAACGTTTTTGAAACCTAAATACACACTTTCTTCGAACATAAAATATGAAGGCAATGTGATTTCCTGCCAAATGAGCAAAAGAAAACATATTTTTGTGAATGTTTTCCGTAAAATATATTTGAATTTACAAGATTATCGAAAATCAATAGGAACAATGCATGCTAATTATGCAGTCATTTTTTGCCGAGTATGGTTTTTGCAGAAGGTCAAAAAGGAATGCATTCAAAAGCCGACATCCTGGTGAGTCCGAAATGTTATAGGGTTGTGCTGCTTGATAATCAGCATGGCAACTCAATTAAAGTACTCCTTCCTAATCGGAAACGCATTCCAGAATTTTGGCTAAAATTTCACGAGATCGGTCACGCACTGTAACGTACTTAGCGAGCATACGCGTGCCTGCTACAAACTCTCATCAGGCCTGTACATTTATATGGGAACGAAGCACAAACTAAAAGATAAGAGCAATCGACTAAGGTTCGTCTTGTCCTACAAACGGAGTATGTGAATAGAGGGGGGGCAAGGGAGGTGAGAGGAGGCAGCGCGGTTAGGTAGAGCCGTGTCAGAAGGGGAGGAGGGGGCGGGGACGGGGTGTAGAGACATGCATATTAACGTACTCTGTAACTTCAATGTTGCTACGACATAATGCTCTTTTTTCGTTGTAGCTTCCCGCGAACTGTTGGGGGAGCTGTGGCCTTAGGGCTCGGATTACTTGGATTGCCATTTGCTATATCAGCGGCTGCCTTGGAAGACAGTATCCTGAAACATCTGAGAAGGCTTAGGACGCGCTTCTCATAGGGTCGAAACATTGCTTACCATCTTTGTCCACTGTTATAAAGATGCAAATTTACCAAAATCATTATGGTTTAAACCTCCTCTGAGGTTAGCGCTGGGAGACTTCGTTCTCATGATGTTTTATACTAAAATGCAGAAGAAATTTGATCAAGTTTGTGGACGAAGAGGCAGAAGTAAACATCTCGGTAAGACAAAATTATAGTTATTTGTGTTCCATTAAGATCAAATGACAAGTAGCACATACTGTGGAGTTGGCAGAAATCACTATTGTATGAGTGAGAATAATAGAAATTGCCAATCACGACCTCGGGTATGCGCGATAATTAGACCCTTGAATTTTTCTTACGCGCATAAGTCCCTCCAAAACTGCCATGTACCTGCGTAGGAGGAATCTTTTGAACAGTCGCTAACCTGCCGTAATGGCTGCCTGTGCTAGCTGTAATCTCTCGTTGCATCGGTCCAACGGTGCGGACGAACCGTTGCATTCGTAAATTGGCTGCTGATTATGCTTAAGTAGCCATATCTAATTTAATGTTAATGACACTTTGGTGGCGAAAGAGGAGGTAGACTGCGCAGAACGTTATCAGATGCCGTTTCATTAGCCACTACTTGGAGTAAAGACTGTCCAATGCTAGTTCTGACCTTGACTCTACCTGCGACATTGTTCACACTCTAGCTATAATCATAGTCATGACTCTAAACTCAATCCTAACTATGACCGAGATCTTGAGTTTAGCCATGACAATCAAAGTCTGACACTTAGCCTAATGTTGCCGTGAAGTCGTATTTAAGGGGACCGCGCCCGATTGAATTTTGTATACCCCATCCATCGCTCTATGCTTCCACCTCAATAACCACAAATATGGAATATATGCCTGAGTTCGTGAACAAAATAAACTATAGCATTGAGCACAGTGCCAGGGAGGAGTACAATACGGAGGTCATTTCTCGATCTCGGGGGTGGGGTTGCGTTCTAGAGCACTCAGTCAGTTGTAAAAATCTGCGAAGTAAAAGCCATAGGGTTTTATGAATCTCTTTTTATATTTAATCTTTCATGAACCCTCCAAAATTCTTATAAACGCTTCTCACGCAGTTTTGCAACATAAACCCCTTATCTCCTATTAGATATGTCGTCCCGTGTACACAATCGACCGAGCAAATCAGCTAAAGAACCATGTACCCAAATTAAAGTAACATACTGACTGCAGAAATCGTCAAACCAGCAAAAAATCCGCTTTACATATTTATTCATGCATACAGTAAGTGTTTTATCTCACGAAATTTTAATCGAAATTCTGAAACGCGTTTTCGTTTCGAAAAGATTATTCAGGTAGGGTTGTGAAATTAATCCATGCAGCATAATTATATGATAATTCAGTTACCTCGAGATACCGGCTTCTGAACGAATTTCTTTCCGGCTGCAAGCAAAAACAACACTCTGTGAGAAACGAATACTTGATTAGCATGAATTCTTCTCATTGGTATTTGATGTCCTTGAAAATCAAATTATATTTCGTGGAAAAAATGCATGAAAATATTCATTCTTCAACCCTTTCAGAATAAAATTACGTCTTTTTTAAATCATATGCTAGAAAAGTGGTACATTTTGGTTTTCAAAAACTGTTCCGATTCCCGAATAATTTTGAATTTGAGCTGCCATTAAATTTGCATTCAGGGTTTCCAAGCTACAAACCATACATTTTCCACGTACGGAAAACCTAACATTTCTCTACGGTATTAAGAAGACATCATATGGAGTTCATAAAATTTAGTAGTGTATATGGGCCATACTGTAAACATTACAAGCCACATTGGTAAATCCAGAGCCACGTTTCCTGAACGGGCATTTCACGGTATTAAAAAATCCCATAATTAGAAACTTTTTAAACCTAATTATACCATTTCTCGACCACAAACCTGGAAAAAGACGTAATTTTGTACTGAATAAGTTGAGGAATGAATAATTTATTACATTTTCCCATGAAATATAATTGATTTTTTTGGGGCATCAAGAATCAATCAGAACAATTCATGCTAATTAAGTAGTCATTTTTTTACAGAGTGTGGTTTTTGCTTGCAGCCGGAAAGAAATTCGTTCAAAAAACGGCGTCCTGAGATAACTGAATTATTTTATAATTGCGCTTCATGAGGATTGAGTTTACAATCCTACTTAACGCATCTCAAAATTTTAGTTAACATTTCGTAAATTAACACACATACTGTATGTATGAATTGGAAGGCAGGCATCCCAAAAAAATTTAATTTGGAAGCAAACGTATTCTTCGGGAAAAAATGAGAAGTTTATTAGATAAATTTTCGGCTTTGGTTCGTCAGGTCGTCGTTAGACTTGAGTAAATGTGCAAAAAAAATTAACATTTTAAACATGCTGAAAACGCAATGCTTGTTTGGTGTTTGGGCCAGTAGGTGGCGTCGTGTGCGTCATTGTTTATTGATGAGCTCCCTGATCTTGCATATTTCCTTGAGATTTTTTGCACGCGGTATTCAACTCAATGTGTCGACTGATGCATGACTTAACGGAATGCATGGCTTCAAGAAACTTTTGGCCTTTGTTGGAGAGGTGCACTCCGATGATGCGAGTTTTTTCCCATGTGAGGGTGTCGCCCGTATCAAGGATCTGCGTGGTCGTTTGAGACAGGTGAACTGGCCTCTTAACTGCCGGTTGATGTTCATGGTTGAGTATAGAGACTAATTTTTCCGTTTGGCTACACTATACAGCATCGCAGGCATCGTAAAAGAACTTAAAGTCAACTTCTTTCTTATCAGGATAGTAAGTTCTATCCTTGGGGTGTAAAAGCCCAGTGTGTAAGGTAGTCGTCGGTTTGTGCGCCAGTTTTATTTGGTGTCTCCCCAAGTGTCTTTCAACGTGTTAAGGCACTATCCTGATATACGGAAAAATTCGCCAAGTATTAACTTTGGGCGCTTGATTGGAACTATCTAGTTGCTTTGTTATTAACTCATGCCGTCCCATGCATTAACGTAAGAAATCTCTAAGGCAGCAATTCTCGGAAAATAATTGAAACAGGTAATTTAGCTAGACTTGGCAGCTTTTTTCGTCGAAGCAATGCGGCAGACTCTTGACAGAAGTCTGCTTGCGAGAGACTGGGCATTTGCTCCCATAGTGTTGAATTACTTCTGCATAAGTTCGTTTGCGGTAACCGAAAATGCGTAATGTTCCGTCAGTCATTCACTGCATGAGAACCTCAAGAAAAGGGGAGTTTACTGTCAAATTCCTTTTTAAGCGGCAACTAAATTCTCGGAATGGGTGAGTTGGTGGCGTTGTGGAGCGTTTCCAGTGATAACGACAACAAATACGTCGTTTACAAATCGTACCCAAAACCTAGGGTTAACTAATGCAAAACCTGCCGATTCCAGTTGTCACCTCGGCAGGAAAGCCAGATATAGGTGGTTTCGTTGCAGCCCCTTTTGGTTGTCAAAATTTTACTTTACCAACATCACTTCTGCAGGGTCAGTATGCTGGTCTTAGACCCACCGTTTTTTAATTTCCAATAAAGAAATGCAGAATCAAAATCTTCCTGGAAAGCAACACTACGAAAGATATTGCCACTCGCGATTGGTTCAGGCTGAGGTTGGCATAGATTACGCTGAGTTCACGGAGAGGGAACATATCAGGGATGCCACGAAGTACATTACACGGCACGTGCGTACAACGTTTAGAGTATGTAATTTAACACTAGTTGGAGAACACCTAAGTAATAATGATTACTTAATAAAGCACCTATGTGGTAATGTCGGCGTAAAGGAATGAGATATTTCTGAAACAAATTACGGACGAATAAATAGATATATACAGGGTTTACATTTAGGATAAAGAGTACTGAATGATTAGATGCCTGCTTATTGGTGTCATTAAAACAATGCGGTGGCAGTAAGAAATGCAGGTAAACAAACATCAAAAAATCCCAAAATGCTTTACAAAAAAACGTAAAATGATTATGATTTGTGAGCAGCTTAAAGAGACAAAAGTGTCGCTTATGGAAGAGAAATAAAGCAATGTGACAGGACCACCCCTCCAAAGCGAGTATATGAGGATCCAAAACGTTCTTTGTCAAAAGAAATTCGTAAGCGGAGCATGACCACTGGCGCCTCCAAGCGGGGTAGTTGCGGTAGTAATATTCTAAGGCTAACTGCTGAAAATTCGTCAAGGCTGCGAAGAAAAGGGAACTGACTGCGTTCCTCGACGGGTCATTTGAGGTCGAAACGAGGAAAGCACGTTAAAGTCCGCGAAGAACGTCACCGCAGGGAACAATACCGGTAAATCCAGCGACCACTTAACAATACCGGAGTTCGAACAGGTAAAACATGAAATATCTACCCTTAAGTCGAGGAGCACTCTTTCCAATGACCAGAATTTGAAGAATTGGATATGGAACAAACATTAATGGTCCTATACCCTCCAAATAAATAAGCTTACAAATTTAAATATTGAATATCGATAATCAAGAGGATGACCCAATTCCAAATAAAAGATCATGCGAAGGAAAGGTACATTTAAAGGCAAAAAACGCATGTTTGGACGTTGAGCAGAGGTAGTGGAAGGACTATGGATGAAGCACAAGTGATATAGATTTATCCAATTGAGTTGGGATGTCGATACGGAAAAAATGGGGGTTGGAATTAGTGCGAAATAGAGGGTAAGGGCTCGCTTCCAGTCTTCTAACCTACAAAAATTAGTGAATTCTACACTTGTTGAAAAAAGATTAGCCATCCGCACTTATGGATAAAGTTTTAGGTGGAAAAGGAGAGATATTTTTTACCTGACAGTACTTGCATGTCGACTTCTGTGTTATTTATTGGAGTGAATAATGCAGTTAACCCCTAATATATAAAGCCTTCCACACCGATAGTGGGTGACCCTTCTCAAAAAATAGGTCACACTGATGACTATCAGAGTAACTCATGTGGTCCCATTCACAATAACCTTGCAAATAGGAAGATCGTCTTGGTTGAAAAAAATCTTACTTGTTGGAACTGCAATCTGTTATGAAGAAGACCTTCCCTTTTTGGGGAAAACAGAAAATGCTAGGTAAATTGGGTCTTAAATCCTAAAAGTTACAATGGGCAAACCAACAACCTGAAAATGAACCATTCTGAACAGTCAAAAAATGAGAGACTGATAAAATAAGAAACCCTGCTTCTTTAGAATTGTTCAAAAAAATGACTACCCTAACACTCACAGCCAATTAGTTTACTTGCACTAATTAATCGCTGAAAAAAGGGCATCACATTGTCTGCACTAAGCAGGGTGTCAGTGAAACAGTTGAACTGGAATATAACTATAAAATCGTGCTTTTTCCTGCATACTTTCTTCTATTTTTAGATTTTTATATAATGAAAGAGCATTACCTTTTATGAAAACAAATTGGGGCACTAATTTTTTGAACCTTTATCTGGGACTGTACATGATTTCTTGATTAATTGATAAATGAATATTTATCAACCATCAAACCAATTGACATGAATCTGATCGCTTTTTTTAGTAGAACGTAAGCGTGCTAATTGCTTCCAGAATGAATTTGAAATCCCCCATGTAAGGTGTTTTTCTGAATTACGTCTAGAAGAACTTCTAAAATATTTCAGTTCTCAAGAATGTAAATTTGTAAGGATAATTTGATAGAGAATTGTTCAAAAAACAAAACGGCTACTCAAAAAACCCACAGCCCGTAAGTTTACTTGCACTAACTAATCGCTGAAAAAACTGCATCACACTGTCTGCACTAAGCAGAGTGTCAGTGAAACAGTTGAACTGGAATATAACTATAAAATCTTGCTTTTTTCCTGCATAACGTATTTCATTTTTTGAATTTTAGCATGATGAACAAGTAAAACCGTTTTTTAAAATAGATGGGACCATTTTTTTGAACTTTTATCTCAGACTGTACACGCTTTCTCAATTAATTGATGAATGAATATTTATCAACCATCAAACTAACTAACGTGAATCTGATCGCTTCTTTTAGTGGAACATAAGCGTGCCTATTGTTTCCACCATGCCTTTGACATCCTCCACGTGAGTTGTTCCTCGGAATTTCGTCCAGAAGAACTTCTAAAAATATATTAGTTCTCAAGCATGTATATTTTTAAAGATAATTTGGCAAAGAATGGCTTTGATAAGAGTATGATAGCAACATTAGAAAACGTTCCGCGGACAGGGAATGCATTAACGTGTGCGGTCCAAGATGATTTATAAGCACCAAGAAAAAACGCTCTTTGTTAAAGCTTTATTGAACGGTGGCCAGACTTTACATATCCTCAATAATTTTTATATCGGCTGCTAAGGTCTCATTAAAGAGCGCTATCCTTAAGTATAGAATTTTAATCCTATTAATGAATTTGTTTGCGGTTTTAGCAAGCGATATTCCATGGGCAGGAGAACGGTTCGCCCGCTGGCCTTCCGTCCGTTCTCACGTCTAAATATTTTTCGAAATTGCCCAACCATGCAGCGACAGAATATCGGCGAAACACGCGTGCATGGGCATTTGGCTAGTACCTGTGTTGTTACTTTGGTATCGCACTACCCCAAAGTATAGTACTAGCTACCTGTCGGCCGTTAATTAATATTACCCGGTTATCCGCTGTGGCCAATAGACTTCGGCCCCAATATTCATAGACAGAATTCTCGGTCTGAGCCTATAGACCTTGAATAAATTGATCTTCTCCAAGTTCGTTAAACGTCTGAGGAAATTAGAAAGCGACAATTGACACGTTGGAAATAGTGCTCAGAGGCAAATACCCATTCATTTTCAAGATATCCGTTTGTACAAATAACCTGATCCAAGACTGCGCAGGTTAAACCTCTTTTGGAGTTCTGTTTAATTAGTGAACTAGTCAACATAAACGAATTTAAAGTCGAATGCAAAATGTGGCCGCGTAAATGTTTTCTCATTTAATTTCTAGTTTGTAATGTGCATGCTGCAGTCCACGATTTTAATCATTTACTGAAACTTTTAATTTATAATTCCAAACGAAGCCACAAGCGACACGTCTGACACCGTCAGACGTTTATCCTCAGGAGTAAATGCATCGTGTTAAAACTTCGAGCGTCAAAATTGTGTGCGATATATCGGGGCGCGTAAATCTATTGGAAAGGAAATAGAGGTTGACATAAAAATGCAAATAAATAACGACTGTATTGTACCAATACTAGTAACGTTTTACATTCTTAAGCCCAATGTAATGCCGCTTCTATGGATTGGTTCAAGTGGGAATCCGAAGCGTCAGTCGAATAAAATTTTTTGTTGCGGCGATGGCATCTCCTTCTCACACGCTTACGGAACTCAACTTTTGACCGCTATTTTTGTTATTTTCTGTAGATTGAATTATGAGAAGTCGTTAATGAGGCCTGGTTTTCAACCCTACTACGCAAAGATGAATTTCGATCGTCTTCGATGAATTTACAAGCCGATAAAAAGTTTTATACTCGAAGGCAGTGGATCTCAGTTTTACAGATTAGGTTCAGAAGTTATCGAAATATTTCCAGGCGAGTATTGACACTGTGACTTCTCATGAACATTCTAGTTGACAAACAGTCTTTCTGTGCGTCACATGGAAAAGATCGTTTTTCTTTTTTTAGGAGCCATTACCGTCATCCGTACGTCCGATCTTACTGCCTTCAAAGTAAGACAGAGTGACTTTGTACTTACTAAAAACGCTCCCCAAGAAGTAACGCAAATTGTTCTCATTATAAGTTGCATACGGGGTAGAAAACACACTCAAGCACCGTCATGTTTGCATCCAACATTTCAAAAAATTCATGGACTTTAAAATGAAATTCTTGGGTACTTGCCTATAACAAGGGACTGTTGGTGCAAGGAAAGTGTTTTTCTCGGCAGCACTATTGGATGGACATTGACAACAATTTAAAGCAATAAAGTATGTGATTTCATGGCCTAAAAGACTGCTCTCTATTTGAAAGGGTGTGATTATATTATGTAGTCTCGACTGAATCAGATTTCAGGTCTATGAATACCGTTTGCAGAGAACGCAAGCAATTTTCACTTACATTCACAGTCCGATTGAAGTGCTTAAGGGAAAATGAATAAACTTTATAGACGGTTCGTTCTCCACCAGGCAGAATAGCGTTGTCAGGATGACTGTTCACTACACTCATTATGACGCAACTGTGAAAACTGTTCGACCTCGGGGAAATTCGATCCCACGACAGGAAGGGGGAGGCTCGAATACAGCCAACACTCTAGCCACCTGGAGCCCCACAGAGAGTCGTGAGTTTAGTCCAATTGAGGTCAAGTTACCCATCCAACCTACTGCAACGTCTGAAATTCACCTAATATGATAAAATAAAGCGAGTGCCCAAGCAGGATTTCCGAAGTAATCCTTCTAGAATTCACCAAATGACTAGTAGACTCACGTGTTCAGACGGATGTCGAAGTAACTGTAAATGGAATGTTGTAGCCGACTGGAGGTCTAGCTGGGTTCGAAGGTCGGGTTGGCGATTTCTTCGCCGACCCCACTATTTACTGAGATGGCATTCCATAAGTATGCGAATTCGTCTTTAGATGCGTGGCAAGTTCCATTGCCATTTGTTCGGAGTTCGGTGTATTCTACAGATGGTACCGGCTAATGCATGACCACTGTATCCTCCGTGTTGATCGGACAAAGACAAAATGCCAGTTTTCCACCACAGCCTCCTTGCTTATGCTACCTAGCATGCAGTCATCCCCGAATAAGGGGTAGTGGGACGATACGATGCTATTTGAGTGAACGTTGCGCAGTATTTAAAAGGGCAAGTAGTCGATCAGGGGCCGCCTTAAAAGGATACTATTCGAAGGAGGGTCCGTGTCCGGCAGAGCGATATGAGCCCACGCAGACGAAGTACAGTACCGCCCTTGATTTAGGCTGAACATTGCAAGCCCAGATGTGGCATTTTAGACCTTTCTATTCCATATTGCGGACTTGAGGGAATAAATCGTGTCGTAATGTATTCCGTTTGGTACTCGGACATAACGGCAATATGGGCGGTGGGAATATGCATAGCAAGAGGCCTTGTGCAACCCCTAAACTGTGGAGAAATGTTTTGCGTTTTACTAATGATTTACGTGTAGGGGATACAGAACAGTAAGTGTACATCGACATTTTTAGGTCAGATGTGGTTAGGTAGCCGCATCTGAAGTAAACAAATTCCAGCCACTCGGGACCGGTAGTAATAGGGGCTTTTACAGGTGGGGCCAGGGAAGGCACAGGCGAGAAGGACAAGTAATTGCCAGCATTTTACTAACGAATTACGTGTGGGAGGTACAGAAAAGTAAGTCTACATAGACATTGTTGCAGCAGCGTGTCCTCAGGGGGGTTAAGCTCAAAGAATGTCATCTAGTCAGGGGTGTAACTGGATTCTGAACAAAAACACCACTGAACAGCGCCTACGTAAATAAATATGGTAACAGAATGGGATCGAGTGAAATCCTAACCACAACAGTGAGAGTCACACGCCTACTTGACGTGCTTACATTGAGTGACCGATCTCATAAAATGTTGGTTGAAATTCTGAAATTCGTTTTTGACTAGGAAGGATTACTAAAGCGCGGTTGCAAAACTGATTTTCTTGCGGCATAATTCTATAACAGTTCGGTTTTGACAGGACGTCAGCTTTTGAATGCACTGCTTTTAAATCTCCCGTAGAAACCGTATTCTGTAAGAAATGGCTACTTAAGAGGCATGCATTTTTCACATTGATTTTCGATTGCCATGCAAATTCTAATATAGTTTATAGAATCCACGAACAACAATATGCTTTCTTTCGGTCGTTTGATAGAGAATCACGTCGTCCTTATATTTTATGCTCGAAAAAGGTTTATAATTATGTTTTGAACAAGTTTCTAATTATGAGATTTTTCAAGACCGTGCAATGTCCATTCGTACAGCACCGTACCTGTCTATTTATCACTGCTCCTCATGAAACGTACAACATAGTACGCATCCATTGCAAAATTTTATAGACCCATATAGTATATTTTTAAAGGCATAGAAGAATATGTGATTTTCTTTACACGGAATAAATGCGCCTTGTAGACTGAAATCACTAAGCGCTAATGCAACGGCTGATCGTGCTCCAAATTATAAGGGAATAAAAAAACTTCTTAAAAACCCTAATTATACGCCCTTTTTGAGTATAAATTATAAAGACGATGTGGTTTTCCATCAAAAGACTGAGAAAAAGTATATCTTTGCGTGCGGTTTCTATAAAATATATTTTAATTTTCAAGACTATCGGAAATCATTGTTAAAAATGCATGCTACTTGAGTAGTCATTTTTTACCGAGTACTGCTTCGACAGAAGATTAAAATGTAAAGCATTCAAAAACTGGCACCTTGCCAAGTCAGAAATATACTAGGACTATGTCCCATGATAATGAATGCTTCAACCCCACCTAAGTAAGCCTTCCTAATCGAAAACACATTTCAGAATTTCAGGCAACATTTCATGAGATCGGTCACTCACTGTTTATGCCTAACTCAATATGGCCTATGACGTGCTGATGATCCGTAACGACCGTGAAACGGCTGTCAGCGTCTGGCCTGTTGCATTCCAAGCGAGCTGTATAAGTAAGATATCTTACTTTCTCGTATGCAATTATATGAAGAGGTAATTTGCTACCAAAAAATCAAGCAATAAATTTTTTTATATATTCTTTCTATGAAGTATATTTAAACGAAAAAAATTGATGGAAAAATTGGTGGACATATTGCTTAAGTATCCATTTTTACGGAAAGTGAATCATGTTTGCGGCCGAAAAAAGCCTATTTAAAAGCCAACACTAGGACATGACTGAAATATCCTGGAAGTATGCTGAACTCTACACATGGACACATTGAGCAAGATGTGTTATGGCGATCTACCACACAGTCTGGGTAAAATGCATCTGCTCCAACTCAAGAGGTCGAAACCCCTAATAAGTTTTCGGAACCAATCAAGCATTAATCTGGCGAAAACCTTGACTGAGGGACACTCAAATGCAGAATAAAATAGATGGAATTCAACGCAGAAATGGAATGGAAACTGTTGAAATGACAGTATACACAAATGTCCAAAACAGCATCATTGAGTTGTCTGTCCGTAAAATAGGACCGAAATATATGCAACTAATTGTGAATGTTCTTGCAGGAAAACTGACGCACCTAGGCTTCTTCATCAAATCTTGGGAGTATTAGACAGGATAGTTTGTGTGTACAACGATTTCCACATCCTATGTTTCCCACTTAATCAATGACGAAATTTTCTACCCTATATGATAGGCATCTAACTGAGTAAGGTCTCATCTGCCTAGAATCAATAAAGTGTTCTCAGGCGGAACACCTTATATTCGAATTTTAAAAAGCAAATGTCATGCATAACATGCGTATTCGACAAGATAGGTGGAAGCACTGAAAGTCAAATGGCATGTAACCGAGAAGACGGAGTTGGAGGAAAACCGTGTAAAAAGTGGCATGAACGGTGATCTAGTTGGCATATTTGCAGAGCCAGTTGAAACAACAGACTCAGACAGAAAGGTTAACTGAGGACCTAGATACAAACGAGCACACGTAGGCTGCGAACGCAGAGAGTTCAGAACACAGAATCGACAAGAAAGATGGCAGTTGCGACTGCTGTGTCAGACACTGTCAGCGTTGATAAGGATTAGCGATACCACTGCAGTAGGCAAGGGTATCGCTGGTGAGATCGACAACCATCAGATTTTGAGAGCTGATCCCAGCGGATCGACACAATATGAAGTTTGAGGACAGGCTACTCGGTGCATACTGCCCCCGTGTTTTCGAATGCAACCAAGAGTCGTAGAAGGCAATGACTTCATCGCATCAATAGTCCAGCATACAGCGGTCTCCCAAATGCCCCTTTCTGTATGCTGTTTTTTAGTCAGGCCTGTCCAGGTTTTCCTTCTGGACGCCAAATACACGGGCATGGGGCATTCATTAATGAATATGTACATGGGCAAATCATATGTCAACACATCGATTAGATGTCGCGTAAAAGGCACCAAGGCGGGTTGAGGAAAACCGCGTCTACACAAATTCAAAACGTAACTTTCTTCCATCTCTCCCCAGCTGTTTTTCCTACTTCAGAATTAATTGATGTAAAGATCGCTTTTTGTTGCAGTCTACGTGTATTTACATAGTGGGGAGTCAAGTGAATTTTATGAACCAGCAAATTTTGATCGGAAGAAAGACGGTGTTAGTGAGATTCGCCTCAGTGGAACCAAGACAGTTGGGGCAGTGAGGTGTGATTATAGACGAGGATGATTAAATATCGAGTACCTCTTTGCAGGTCGAGGGACAAACGACTCAGATGCCGAATTATTTTGTCGAATGAACACGGCGATGGTGGCCTTCTGGATTTCTGAAAAGAACGTTTTGGTTTCCCCTGATGAGAATATTGATGGTTTACAATATAAAACCTATTGCCATGTCTTTTTTGTTGTGTAACCGTTACTCCTAGCGACTATAACAGACTCAGAAAAGGCGGAGGAAGGGAATTCAGGAACTTTACAGTGAATGCGCCTTAATTTGACGGATTTAGCCTCCAAAATTACATGCATTCAAAACGGTGGATTCGTGTCAGGCAATTTAGAAGGCGCGTGAATTCCTGACCGCATGAACATTTGTTTCCGACTTGTGGCGTCAAATTTCGACAGGATCAACAGCGACCTTGTGATCTTAAGTGGAACTTAGCGCATATTTGCGAAACATTGCCATCTGATCCCCACGTCCCCTCCTCTGTTTCAATTGATCACTTTGCAGTCGCCAACTTTTAATATACAGTCTCGTATGGCCTTCATGGGGTATTTTTGTAGCAGAACTATATTAAATAAATAAGCCTGACGTAATGAGGCTTTTAAGTCTTTGGGCCTGAAACAGCTACTCGTTTATGCCACAGATTATGCATCTCATACCAAAGGTTAAGAGGCCCAGTAAGTAAATTACGTGGTCTATTGCTTTAGCCTTTCAGAAGCAAAGACAGGATCATCCAAACTGATTGAAATGGCATACAGAGCAGGTAGTATTGGGACGTGAGTATTTAGAGATGGCCTCCTGAAATCGCAGCCACTGGCCCCAAAGCCATCCGCGTCAACTTGACTAACATAGACAGCATAGTTTCATGACCCTAGATGATAGACTACGACTAGACATTTTTCAAAGATGAGGACAAATGCGTGTGGGGGCTGAAAACGGGATTATTACTAGGCCCAAAGCTTATACCCCGATAACAATGCTGTGAGACATGCATTGCTGGAGTTCTGTGGTCTGTTTGCTCATTCATCTTACCCTTTCGACCCTATATCTCTAATTGTGGAAGGCCGTATAGAAGAAGGCAGTCGTTGTTGCAGCTTTACTAGGGATTGCTTCTTGTAAGCTAATGCTGCCCATATTTTGTATATGAGGCTTTTCGGCAGACTGGTCTGGAGAAGTTAACAAGTTGCCATAGATGGTTTTACAAATTGCCAGAGCCCTGTGTCATACGGAATTTGTCTGGATAAAAACCCTAGAATTCGTGTCTGGAAAATAAGCAGAGAAAGGTAAAGTTACTTTGGTCTAAAAAGCTTCTTGATATGCTTAGGGATTAAAAAGTGATTATGAAAACCGGTAAGCATAAAACCAATTCCTTTCCTTGATTTTTGGTTAAATGTTGTCAGAAATGAAAAATTGAATCCTGACCAAATCCTTATTTATTATACGGTTTCTTTTGGCACCAAACTACGTTCAGTCCTATTTCCCAGGCATAAACATGTGTGTTTTAGACCTCAGGTGGTGAGCATTCCGAGCCGATATAAAAAAAGGAAGAGGCTCTTCGGAAAAATGAAAGTGTACTTGTTATTTGAAGTCACATATGTTCGCAGAGAAAAGCAGAAAACGTTGTTGGCCAAATTATTGTTGTTGGTATCCCAAATCGTTGTCAGACTCTGAATAAATGTGCCAAAACAATTAATATTTCAAACTTGCTTGACAATCATTACCTGTTTAGTGTTTGCGCCAGTAGGCGGCCACCATGTGCATCATTATTTTTCGATAGCTTCTCGTCTCATCCATCTTTTCTTGAGATTTTCATACATGATATCTACACATAATCCACATGCGGTGCCTGCGATGCCTTATATCGGAACTAAACGCTGCGTGACGTTATCAACTCAACACTGCCAGGAATCGTCCCCCCGATCGACAGAGAAGTTGATAGCAAACTCCCATTTCTTGATGTCCGCGTACACTGAAAAACTGACGGGACGTTTCACACATCAGTATACCGCAAAGAAGCTTATGAGGAAGATATACGACATTACGAGAGCATTATGGAGTGTTGTTAAGGTCCTACTTAATCAGGCAAAGGCACATTGCTCAGAGAACTAATGATACAAAATATAACTCAATTATTTGTTCAACCAATTTTCGTAAAATGCCTACCTTAGAGGTTTTGTGCACCGATGCTTGAGACAACAGGGGTCAAGAGAGAGAGATAAGGTGCGATCAGGCGCCAAAACCTAAAAAACCGGCAAACGCTTCCTTTCATTAAAAGTATGTCTGAACTCGTTGAAAGATACTTGAGAAAGTGCCAGGTAAAAGTGATGCACAAACCAATGACTACGCTACGCAATTAGCTTATACACCCTAAGGATGAGGTTAGATATTTAAATAAAAAAAGTCGTCTCTTAGCTTCCCTGCGGCGCCTGCAATGCACTATATTATGATCAGACCAGGAAATCCGCCTCTACACGCCTACATGAACACCAATTGGCGGTACCAATTATCCCATATCGTCGTGTATACTTTTGAAACTGGGCACACATTTGATTGAGATAAAACGCGCATTGTTAGTTCATGCCCATATACGAAAGGCCAAGAATTTCTAGAAGCCATTCACTCTGATGATTCATGCATAAACCGGCACATCCACCCGGACGCCATAAACAAAAATCTCAAAAAAGTGGGAAAGGCGATAGCCTATCAAGACGTGACGTCAGCACACAGCATCGACCCATTCGCAGCACTGACAAAGCAATATCAATTTTGCGGGCCAGAATAAATTTTAACTGTGTTTCACGCTTTCTGCGCGTGTGACGACGACCTGGGGCACTAACGTCGAAAATTTGCGAAATAACGTTTGTTCATTTTTCTAAAGGACCCATTTTTTGTTCGGATCTATGTCTGTATATGTGCATGCATATATGAACGGAAGTGCGTATGATTACTTTCCTACAAAGGCCTTGTGGGTGTTAACAAAGGGCCCAAGACGCTTTATTGTGCTACGCACCAATAGCAAATGCCAACCAGCGGACAGTGTGTTGACACACCTAGACGCAGGCTGACTCTGCGCTACCCGAATGCCTCCGGACCGCTTGACTCTACCTTGACACCAGGTCGGGATTGGCGAGGAAAGATTGAGTGCGACAGATGCAGAACAAGTCTACCATCACTTTCTCCTAATTCGTATTTTTGCTTATTGCCTCAGCCATTTGTATGAAAGGCTAGCGTCTTCCCCCTTACTGCAAATATTCTTGAAACGTTTGCAGTCTCCCGTATGTTTGATTTCAAGAGTGACAGTCAACTAACTTAAACGTGCTATGAGCTGATTGGCTAATACATTATGAAAGCACCAATGAAAACCCCAATTGTAGAGACCATCAAACAGCAGTGAAAAGACGTGAGGCAGATGAACTATGATTTTGGCAAGGTGTTTAACACTGTTTATCATAAAAACTACCTTTGCCTGCAGTTCAAACACTCGCACTTTCGCATCTGAGGGAAAAAGCAAGTTGTTTCTCTTCTCTCTGCACTTTCTCAATTTTATAATTTATAATTTTTACTGGTGAACATGTTATGCAATCAGGTTTCAGAGGTTTAGTTCTTTGGAAACTTTACCGATTTTCCCGAGAACAGAATATTCAACCGACCGAAATCACCCTACGTCGTTCCATTGCAAAGTGTACTATACATTTCATTTAAAGCCAAGATCAGATGTGCATTATGCAGGTGTAAAGGGCAGCTAATACGCATGCAGGAACTTTGGCGGAATTGAGTCACACAGACAAGCATTTTAAAAAGTTAGGAAGAGTCTTTTAATAACTTATAAGGGTAATTGAGAGCAAAGACAAGAAAGACTGTGGTGGCCATCGTCAGCCAGTCAGATTCCAAACTACTGATTGAATGACTCTGTTCTGGGATCCGAATTCTTTTGTCTTTCAGCGTTGATCCAACGCTCTGTCAGCAAGCCAAGAGTGCAACGCCTGTCATTTGCGGTCGGAAGATCCTGACAGCGTCAAATGGTCAGTCATAGCTCTAATCACAGTGCGTGCCCGTTATGCCACGCATGGGGACCCAAAACTTAAACCCCGTCTGCAGATAAAGGCAGTAGGTGGACTAACTCATAAAATGTCAATCGAAATTCCGAAATGCGTTTTCGTTTCGAAAAGATAAATTAAGTAGGGTTGTACAACTTATCAGTCTGCAGCATAATTCTGTAATAATTCAGTTACCTCAGGATGGCGGCTTTCAAACGAACTTCTTTTTAACTGCATGGAAAAATTGGCTCTGTAAAAATGGCTACTTATCTTGTACGTATTTTTCTCATTTATCTTCAAAGCCCTTAAACATGAAATTATATTTCATAGAAAACATCCATAAAAATGGTTATTCCTTTTACCATTCGGTAGAAAATGACGTCTTCTCCCAATTTTATACCCAAAAGAAGGGTATAATTCGGTTTAAAAAAATTTTTAATTGTGAGATTTTTAATGCTTGTAAAGTTTACAATATGGCTCACATTCACTGCTTAGTTTTATGAACCCCATATGATCCCCTCCTAATACCGTTGAAAAATGTATGGACCTCTGTGCGCTGAAAATAGAGGACTCGTATTTTAGAAACCCTGAAGGCAAGTGCAACGGCGGGTTAGGTTTAAAATTATTCGGGAATTGGAAAGGTTTTTGAAAACCGAATAATACCTTTCTTTCGAGTATAAACATGGAAGAAGACGTCATTTTCTACCGAATGAGCAAAGAAAAAACTATTTTACTGGACGTTTTCTATGAACTTTAGTTGAAATTTTAAGGTATCAAAAATCCATGAGAAAAATGCCTACAACATAAGTAGCCATTTTTTACAGAGCAAATTCTTGCATGCAGCTAAAAAGAAGTTCGTTCGAAAGCTGGCATTCTGAGGTAACTGCATTATTACAGAATTATGCTGCAGACTGATTAGTTTTACAACCCTGCTTTATTTGTCTTTTCGAAACAAAAACGCATTTCGGAATTTCGATTGACATCTCATGAGTTAGCCCACCTACTGTAGCTCCAGTAGTGGGTTATGACTGACTGACTGAATAAGCCAGAAATGTTCAGCTCAGTCCCTCTTAATAATACCGATGTTTATTCTACATTATTATTAATCGATGTGCAGAAGCTCACGAGGCAAACAGAGAGAACAGTTTCCGTACTGTGTTAAGATCGGTGCACTACCGTACTGCGTCAACCCGCATCATACCAAACGCAGCTAAATCGGTCAACAATGCGTTAAGCAGCTTTTTTGGACTAAGAAATAGCCCATTGAAGCAAACGCTAGTTCTCCCCGTAGAATTTGCAGGCCCTGTTTACGAACATATTGTGCATTTCAGATATCAAGCCCACAACACCACACTATGTCGGCCCACCTCGCTGCAATACAGAGGAACAGGAAGAAGAACCTGTAGCGCGATTTATTGTGCAGAGTATTTCTACCCTGAACCAGGCACTGGGCTCACTAACGAAGCATGCAAACACAATTTCAGCCAATTTAATGTTTAGCGGCGTTTCCAGTAAAAGAACCTGCAAAATGGTGTATTTTAAAAACAAAAAGCACTATTCCTGTACAGATGTTCGACTTCCACTCAACTTCGAGGTACACTACGTGAGTCAGTCTATTTTGGCATACACCGTGTCTGCAAAAAGCGGATTTGTTTGCAAACATCAGGATAACACCGTGACTTAACAGTGTTCTGTAACCTACAGGCGGCCAACGAAAACATGATTGTAATGCCACCAGAGGTAAGACATATAGCGGACTTGGTGGCAAATATTTCTGGACTAATGAATACCGGCTCCATGCAGCCTACATGTGTCGTCACTGCGCTATCCTTCAAACGTCCCGTCGAGCAGAAGTCTGAAGGCATATCCTTACCCTTCGATCAGGTATCCAAGACCGACATAATGAGAACGATTATGACGGCAGTTGCGCACCTGGAAAGGAGAATCCCTATTCTATGTTAACGTTGACCATCGAGTAAACGAGTCAATTTTTTGTGTTCTCTTCTTTTCTCCTTCTTAAATTCGTATCCGGAGACTATCTCAGGCATGATATATCCAGTTTGCACAAATTAAAAACGGTTAAACATATAATCACTGTATTAGACACCGCAGCTAGCCACACATACGCTTAATCTGAGAATACATGAGAGAATAATAAGGAAACCCTTAAAGGCAAATTGCAGTGTTATAACATTAAACACACATTAAACCATCAATCTAAGACATTTTCATATTATACTAAATTCGTCTTAAAAATAAGCGACTTAAAGCTACGCGCATACACACCTATAACTGTTACTCATACCAGGACGAAACCAAATTAAGTTGTACCTACATTTAGACACAAAAGTCTCCCTTCATATTCTTAAATTAGAGAATGGCTGATGGATGACGACCATTAAGTCGTAAGTGGACACAGAGTAGGTGCCCATCTTTCGCGGCATTACATTCTTGCCGTAGACTTTGGTAGAGCTACGAGGCAGGCGCGACGATGATGACTAACTGAACAAATGTTTCAGCAGTGCGAGAATCTCGTCTGCCTACACACATGACACCTCGAACGTCGATTTCGAAGATGTTCACCGTGTACCCCGCAGCAGCGTGAGAGCATGGGCAGTGAATTTTGCGTGAATTGGTCTACAGTGACGGTAGACTTTCGAAGCATCTAGCGCACCCTTATCTTCTTCCTCATCTGGGCCAGATGTCAAGAGGCGGGAGAGGACGTGGACGGCCGAAACGACGAAAAGACACCTCTAGGCGTTTCACCACATCCTCTGCTCCACAAAGAATGCTTGACCAGGGTTTTATACACAACGAGAAAAGAGGAGGGTGGCGACTGAGATTTCACGGAGTGAGTTTGTCATCAATACACGTGGGTGGACGCATGCACGTACAAAAGATAGCCTGTCAACTACCAGCGGATATAATGAAAGCCGTGAGGTTCTGCAGGAAGAACTCTAGTTTCTTCCCACGGATCTTTACGTTGACGGTCCCAAATCGTCTTTGGACGGAATGAGAAAGTACCAGGTGATCTTATAAAACGAGATCGTTTGAAGTCCCCGAGGTTGCGTGAGAAGACAACTGGTGTGTGAAAGGGGTGGGCGTGGAGTTTGGCCGGTTTCCGAGTAAGGAGAATGAAGGAATAAAAGCTCCGGCTGCAATGGATTTTGATTTTTGGTTGAAAATCAGTAGGTTGTCTTTCAGAACTAGATGTTTTATAGATTGCGTAAAAGTAGATTGGTTGCTTTACGCTTACTACACATGATTGGACACGTGCACGTTGACCAGCTGTTCGTCAAATAGGAGTTGGTTCAGATCGCATCTGGATCACATTCATAAGAAGTAATGAGGCCTCACCCTCGGTCCCCGGGTTACCCCATATAAACGCGGTACTGACTATGAAAACAGTATAAGCAGCTGAATGCCATTTAGACCGTATAATTAATGTTCAGGCAAATACTGCGGGGTAGCGGGGGTGGCGGAACCAGTCTTTGCTTCGAAAAACTTCACCTGGCAATTTTCAACATTGAATTACGGTCAGATGTGGTTATGTAGGCACACCTGAAGTAAACAAACCTCAGCCGCCTGTAATACGGGACCAATGATAGTAGGGTTTTTTACAGGCGGGGTCGGGGAACGCACGGACATCCAGGCCCAGTAATTGTATGCAAATGAAGAGCTATTGGGAATGCGTGATTGTACCTTGAATGGTTGAGAAATAGTTGCCCTAAGCGCTTACCCTAACCACTGTCCCTAATCCCCAACCCTAACCCTAAGCCCTAACCCTAACTCTTAACTGCAGACCTAAATTGTAACGTTCAGACATCCAAAGCAGAAGTTATGAGGAGCCAACAAGCCGAAAGTCAAGATGGACTGCCGACATGGGGGCGAAAAAGGTAGATACAGCAACAAAAACAAGGCTGCCAACAGAACACGCACCGGAATGTACAGAAACTTCATGCTAACGTGATCACACTAACCCAAAATAATTATGTACAGTAGATGTGCTAACTCATGAAATGTCAGCCAAAATTTCGAAATGCGTTCTCGTTTCGAAGAAAAGATAAATTAAGTAGTGTTGCGAAACTAACCGTGATGCAGCATAAATCTATAATGATCCAGTTACCTCAGGGTATCGGCTTTCGAAAGAACTTATTTTCGGCTGCATGCGAAATCTATACTCTGCAAAAAATGCCTGCTTAAGTAGCATGCAATTTTCTCATTGCTTGTTGATGCCCTTGAAAATTCAACTATATTTCATGGAAAACATGCATAAAAATATTCATTCTCTAACTTATTCGGTAGAAAATCACATCGTTTTCCAAATTCATACTCAAAAGAAGAGTATAATTCGGTTTTAAAAAAGTTTCCAATGGCGAGATTTTTTAATACCGTTAAATGGCCGTTCATGAAACGTTATGTATCTGCATTTACGAATGTGGCTTGTAAAGTTAACAATATTGTTCAAATCTACTGCTTAATTTTATGAATCTTATATGGTCTACTCTTAACACCGTAGAGGAATGCATGGTTTTCCGGACACGAAAAATATACAGAATGTAGTTTTGAAACCCTGAATGCAACTGTAACGGCAGATCAGGTTCAAAATTATTCTGGAATTGAAAAAGTTTTCGAAAACCGAATTTAACACTTCGTTCGATTATAAAGTTGAAAGAAGACGTAATTTCCTAAAGAATAAGCAGAATAATTAATATTTTTATGCATGTGTTCCATGAAATATAATTGAATTTTCAAGGGCATCGAAAAGCAATGAGAAAATTGCATGCTACTTAAGCAGGCATTTTTTGCAGAGTATAGATTTTGCATGCAGCCGAAAATAAGTTCCTTCGAAAGCCGACACCCGGAGGTAACTGGATCATTATATATTTATGCCGCATCATGATTAGTTTCGCAACACTACTTAATTTATCTTTTCTTTGAAACGAGAACGCATTTTAAAATTTTGGTTGACATTTCATGAGTTAGCACATCTCTGTAGGTCAACGGTATTGTGTCCATCAGGTGCGGCTACATAAGCACATCTTGCCTGACTAATTTTAGAGATTAATGCACTAATCAGAAGGATATATTTTCTGGCAAACGTTTTAGGTCCTGCTCTAATGCATATATGAAAGAGGAAATAGCTCTAAGTTATTGTATTCATTTCCGCAGAAATCCAGCAGCTGAAAAATGAAAAAATAGAGAATATACCTAAAAGCACCTGAAGGACGCCGGGGGAACTCAGTGATGAGTCGGACTCCACGCACCTGCATCATAAAACGAGAGAAAATTAGCGAAACACGTGTCTGGGCTATTTGCTGGAACCTGCAAAATTTACTCGGCTATTTGGTCAATCAAATTCCAGCTGACTCTCCATAGCTTGCAATCGTCAGCTAATATGACCTAAGCACAATGAAATCCCGTAATATCGCCCTCAAGACAGGCTGAAAATGGCGGGGGACCGGGACCAACGCATGGAAACACCATCAATCCCATTTAGGAATTCTTCCTATCCTTGGACGGAAGGAACTTGCTAATTCCAATCAAAAACATCGTTATCATATTTGACAGGTTTCGTTTAACACGATAATCCTATGATTTATGCAACAGATGCTTCTGTGGGCCACTCTCAATTGCTAGCCTACAGTCGGTGCATACAACCGCTGCTTTGAAGCCTGCCTGTACAACTTGATTTCAGGCTTGCCAGGAGGTCAGCCAACTTGGGAGGTAGGAGGGATATTAGAGGGAAGAAATACTGGGACTCATTTCTATGTTGGTGGTGTTGCTGAAAAGTGCCACGGCTGCGTTCGAGCTCGTTATTTCTCCCATAAAACGCCCTTTTCCGTGGTGCTGTCTAACTATTCCCACAGAAACCACCTCACAATTTTTGAATACACACCAACTTGACTGAGTCATGCTTCTTGGGTCAATCAACAAATGAATCGATACCATCCGAGCCTCTGAAAACAATGATTACCTGTATGTTATTACCGACAAAGACAAGGGGGACTAGAATGGCCATTTCTGGTTTATTAGCCGTCGTCAGCCAGTGTGCAACACCCGGGGCTCGAACTCGCGACTTGTTAGTTAGAAGTCCACACCTCTACCCACAGGGCCACGAGCCCGTTGCCCTGTCGGTTTTCGATCAGGAATATACAATGGTAGGGAGGACGCTCACCGATCGTTTTGACGGAACTCACTCGTTCCGTTGTGCCCCACGGGCTCTCTCTCGAGCCCAACCAGCAGCCGCAAGGCGGCGCATGATATAGGCGTGGACTTCTAAATACCAGGTCGCGAGATCGAGTCTGTTGGGTTCGCAGTTGGGTAGGACTGGCTGACGACGGCTAATAAGCCAGAAATGGCCATTCCAGCATACCCTTGCCTTTGTCGGTCATGACATCCTGCCTCTATCATGGGCCGTTGTGCGACTGCTGGTTGGGCCCGAGAGACAATCCGCAAAGCACGACGGAACGATTGAGTTCCGTAATAACGATCGGTGAGCGCCCATGCCATTGATTACCTGTCTGAGAAGAGGTGATAAACAGGACGTTCGGCCGTTGCAAGCGTCCACATCCAGCGCTTACTCTACAGACCGAGCGCGTCAACAATGGTTCGCGCAGCATCTACACCACACTCTCTTCTCTCTCATCCACCCTGTTTCATTTGTTTGACAGTCCCAAGTATACTGTAGGCTAGTGTGGCATAGTGACGGACAAAGTTAGA